CATCAATCACTATTAATCATCACCAGCAGCAGCGATGGTACATTTATTTTCAACTTTTCGTCCTCATCGCCATCATTCTCACAAGTTCATTGACATTTCGTTCCCTTCTCCTCCGACCAGAGTGAGCACCATCATGACTCGAGTCCAACGTCCGCTATGGCCATTGGGTTTTTTTTCGCTCAATAACTGATAACTAAAACATTATAGATAGGTAAATCACGTTTGGCAACATTTCCATCCCCCAGTTGCCTTGAATCTTCGTCGTCACCAGAGCCACACGTCAGCATTGGCTCATGTATAAGTATTTTTCCCAAGGCCCTCAAACAATTACAGGAATGCGTTCTTCCCGTTAAGTTGGTGGTCTATTTACCCGTTAGGTGGTGTATTAATAAAGTCTACCTGTGGGGGCAGTATAGCTCATGCATTACATGACTTCGAAACTAGGCTACCAGAGTGGCCAGAGTGGGCTGGGACCACCTGCCTGACCGGGCGAAAAACGAGTTATAATTGCACTATGGGGCATGATACAGTTTGCAATTGCACTTCGGGCACCCTACCTGGCTAGAAAGCTGGTATGCACACATTGCCTAAACTGCAATTACAAACTGTCTCTTGGCCCATAGTGCAATTATAACCTATTTTTGTGACTCCTGCGTAATGTCCCCAAATAAAAATTAAAAAAATAGAAAAATATTTTCTGACTATTTTTAATTTTAAATTCGGTAAAGAATTTCGATGTGACCCTGAGGCAAAAGTTGCTCAGTTTATTTTTCTGCAGAACATACTTTTTTTGAAAAAAGTTTCCAGATTTTTTGGGTTTTTTTTTTCCCCTGTGATCTTTTTGGGCCCTTACAACGGGGGAAAAAACACCAAAAGTATGGGTCGCCCGGGCAAACAACGTGACCCGGGTGGCCCGGCTGGTAGTCTTGCTTCACACCTATAAACATGACTTTATAAAAAAAATCATTCGCTGTTGTGACACAGTCAAACAGCCTACCACTACACTCCTTTGGTCAACCATATGCTATGGATACTGAACAACAACAAAATCGTAAGTTATGCCGCTGAAATGTTGGCTCCCAAACTTGTTCCCACCTTAAAGTCGCTCATGGGGCTGTCAAGCATGGTGTGGGTGATGAAGATGGTATACATGGGGGGGGAGGGGGTGTGGGGGCACTTAAACGTAACTTCTAATCTATTAAGGAAAAACAAATGTCCCCTAATCCAGGGTTACCTGACCGAACGTTCGGGGGCCCCCGGGCTGGCCCCCGAACGTTCGGGCGTTCGGGGTCCCGTTCAGGGGCCGAACACCTCCAGGTTCGACCCCCGCCAAAAAAACATTTCGGGGCCTAAAAATGAGTTTTTTTTTTCTGAATTTTTTTTTGTAACCTACACGCCTATAAATTTTGAAGCCATTCTGCTAAGCCAAAAAAAACATTAAAAATTGTCAAAGATGGGGGTGTCAAAACGTGCTCGCCCACTCACTATTTCGTTTTTTTTCACTTTTAACTTTTTGTTTTCACTTTATTTCGGGGCCTAAAAAAAATTAGTATTCTTTGAAAACTTTTTATCGAGTTACTGATTATGTAAACTACATATCTGTAAATTTTCAGGGCATTTGTCAATGCCAAAAAATAATTTAAAATCGGCAAAGATGACGGTGTCGAAAAGGTGCTGGCACACTCACTCATTTTAATTCTCTTCTTATTTTTTCTTATTTTTATCATAGTGTTTATTTTCTGTATTTGATTTTTAATTCAAATTTGGTAAAGAATTTGGATGTAGTGCCCAGGCAAACGTTATTTAGTTTATTTTTCTCCATCACATTTTTTTTTTTTCGGAATTTTTTGAAAACTTCGTTTTCTTTTTTGTATTTTTTTTTTCGGTCCGCGTTCGGCCCGTCCCGAACGTGGGTAACCCTGCCCTAATCTATACATGGGGGTAGAGGGGGTGTGGGGGAGAGGGGGTGTGGGGGAGGGGGGCGTAGCCCCCCCTCCCCCACACTTAAACATAACTTAAGAAAAGGCCAGTTTTATACCCTGGGGCTCGACATAGATAAGGGGTGCAGAAAATGCAGCAACACTTTGTACCCTGATACTCGACATCAATAAAGGGAAAACAAATGGGGTGTCCACAAAAAAACGAGTTTTGGAACGCCCGGCATGGGCACCGCGAGCAAACCAGCCCCCCCTTCCCCTCACAGTAGGAAAAAAAAAAGTGCCTACACTTGAACGCCACCTTCCTCCGCTTCATTGAAAAAAACAAAAGGGTTCGCGGGAAGACGGGAACGCCCCCTCCCCCGCAATTGTGCACGGCACCGCTGCGGCATTTCGCAAGAAGACAACTTCTGGCCCTGGCTGCACTTGCTTGAACTTTTTCCGCTGTCTGAACAATGAGCAAAAGTCAACCAGCCGGTTCCAAACCAGCCCCTTCTTCGCACCCCCTCATCCGCACCCCCTCCCTCCCGCACTTCAACATGGGGGGGGAGGGGTGCGGCCTGCCTTAGGGAACTTGGGGGTATGGCATATTGCTGCCACCCATAGCGTTTCTTAGGCTGAGCCTCTCCATCAACAAAGGAAGGCCCCTCGCCCTGGCTGTGCCGCCACGCTTGGCGTGGTCTAACAGTAATTGTTTGAACTGCGACTGCCGGGGCTAGTGGTGGTTTGAACCGCGACTCTATCCGACACGCAGAAATTGGCATCCGGTGAGTTAGGACTCAGGAGAGATTTTTTTTTTTTGGGGGGGGGGTGGCGACCAGAAGGCGCAGGTCCAGTCTCACAATTTTCTAGCACCAACTTTTTGCCCTTTTTTGCGCTCAGAAAAACAAACTGAAAATTTGACAGCCTGTATGATTAAGTCGTGAGTTTTCCAGAAATCAGGAAAATGGATTTTTTTTTTTTTTAAATCCTCTAGAGCGTGAAATAAATGTCGCGCCAATTCGTCACATTTTCCATTTTTGCCACACTCCTCAATGTGTGGGCCAACGGAAAAAGTACTCCCAACTTGGGATATTTTTCATTCTCAGTCGAATGCCTCAACGACTCTGAAAATTGGAAGGTCTGCACATTTGGTCGTGATCTATCCAGGAAAAATATTTCAAAATTTTTAAAGAAAAGTGTGAAATTAATTCTGTGCCGCTTTGTCTCATTTACCACATTTGCCACTTTACGGCTTGTGAGCCAATGGGAAAAGTACGCCAATTTCAGCGATTCTTCATGCTAAAATGAATGCGTAAAAAAAACTGAAAATCAAAGGGTCTGTAGATTTGGTTGTGTTCTTTCCAGGAAAAATATTTGCAAAAAAAAAAAAAAAAAAAACGTTTCCATATCGAGATAAATCGTGGCAGCAATTCGTCGTATTTTCCATTGTTGCCACTCTGCAGGTTCTCCACACTGTGCTATACCAGTAGCCTTCGTGAACCTGTGTTTACCAGTCCCCGAAATGTTTGACGTCCGATAGAGTGGTGGTTTAAAGAGAAGTTATAAAGTAGTCCACATCCATGCACCGAAGCTGGGCCTGTCCCCTTCGGGTTGATCCTCGACTCTGTTCCGTGCGGGAAGCAGTACCCTGGCTCCTAACCTCATGATGGGGCACAGGATGGCAGAGGCTGACAACAACCGACCACTACCAGCCAGGGGAGCAAGCCATCTATCTCCGCTGGTGACCCCCAAGCGTGCAGCAGGGGGCCGCGGGGAGCCCAATGAATGACGTGGGGAACACGACCTCCTGGATGCCACTTACTTGCTCGACCAACTGAGCGTGATGGGGCACAGGATGGCAGAGGCCGACAACAACCTGCCACTACCAGCCAGGGGAGCAAGCCATCGACCTCGCTGGTGAAACCCCAAGTGTGCCGCAGGGGGGCGCGGGGAGTCCAATGGATGGCGTGGGGAAGGCATTCCCCACGACATCCTGAATGCCACGTACTTGCTCGACCAACTGAGCGTGATGGTGGCAGGCCGACAACAACCTACCACTACCAGCCAGGGGAGCAAGCCATCTATCTCCGCTGGTGACCTCCAAGTGTACCGCAGGGGGGCTCGGGGAGTCCAACGGATGACGTGGGGAAGGCATTCCCCACGACCTCCTGAGTACAACTTACTCGACCAACTGAGTCAGGCCGGCGAAGAAAAATGGCTGGGCAACGTACTGGTGGGTTTAAACCGCGAGTTACCTCGTCACCTTGAAATTCGGTACTGGTATGGACAGCATGTGGAAATTTTTTTCTGTGGGCTGAGTGCTAGCAGTGTGGAGGGGGGGGGGGGGAAGGCCGCACCTGCATTCCACTTTCGGTTTTGATGCGCACCATGAAGTTTATTTACCGTGCGGCGTGTGCTTTGCTTCATTCCGAATTGAGTTCAGACTCTTCAGAGCGACATATATTGCATAACAGGACCCGGAGAAGCGGCAGGAACCAGCAGCGGAAAACGCAGAGCAGTTACATCATAGACATTGTACATGTCACAAAAATGATCAATGACAAAAGTTGGAAGCCTCTCTCTCTCTCTCTCTCTCTCTCTCTCTCTCTCTCTCTCTCTCTCTCTCTCTCTCTCTCTCT